AATTAATTTGTTAACCTCACATAACTTTTTTTTATTTGCTCCTATTAAAGATAATTTTGAAATTTTTACTATCTGACTTTGTAATTCTGGCAATCTATTAATGATATTTTGATTAATTATTGAAATTTCAGATCCCGTATCGATTATTATATTTAAGTTTAATTTATCTAGTTTGGCTTTTAAAATTATTAGTTCATGTTCTGGCTCTTCATCAAGATTGTCTTTTAAATTAATAAATTCTCTATGGTGTTCATACTTACAAATATATAAATTTTGATTCAGAGTGCTACTGTCTAAAAATTTTGATTTTGTTGAGATTCAGTATACTCTTCATTTGTCACATTTGGTTGTTCAGGTTGATTACCTGAAATACTGTTTCCTCTATTTTTGGATTGGTTGTCAGTTGATATAAAGTTGACCTGTCTTGGCCGCTCAGAATCATTCACAGAACTAGATCTCTGTCTATGATTACTCTGGTTATAGTTCTGATTATTATAATTACTTTGATGGTAATTATCATTTCTATTATTATTAAAGTTTCTATTATAGTTATTATTATTTGTATTAGGATAATTTCTGTTATTATAGTTATTAAAATTTCTATTAGTTTGATTTATGTGTGTATTTTGACTATTATTGTTATAATTATTACGGTTATTATTCTGATTATTTATATTATTATTAATGTCATGTCTATTATTTTCATTATTATATCTATAATTGTTATTAAAATTTTGTCTATAGTTCTGGTTTTGTCTATTATTTTGTCTGTTAATTAATTGATTATAGTCATTGTAGTCTTTGTCATATCTGTTTTTATTTTCATTTATTTTAATATTATTATAATTATTACTTTTATTTATTTCACTATTATTATTACCTTTATTCACTTCAATTCTTTTTAAATAGCTACTTAGTTGTTCTATTGTTTCTAAATTTTGAATAGCTATTGTTTCAGAAATTTCTGGTTTATAATGTCTAGCTATGAACATTATAATTTCTTGTTCTTTCATCTTTGGCTCTAAATATTTTGACATAGCATATAATTGTATGGCGTAATTGTTTAGACTATTTCCTCTTTTATCATCATATTTCCCAAAATAGATCCTTTCCCGTAATTTAGCTTGTGCATGATTTCCCCAAAAATAGTTTAGAAATTTTGTTTCAAATTCATCAAAATCACTAATTTCTTCTTCCACACTCGTAAACCAGACTAACGCATGGTTATCCAGATTTTCTCTTATTATTTCCTTGATGTCTTCTATAGTTTTTATATGTTTTATTTTATTTCTTAAAATTTTAATAAACACTTTAGGATGGATTTTTCTGCTGTCTCCTTCATATTTGTGATCATTCTTAGATATCATGTAATTGTTAATTATTCTAGTCTCATTTCCTCCTATGTCTTCTGAATATAATTTTCTTGTCTTTATCTGATCTTTTAATTTATCAATTTCATTTTCTACTTTCTTTTCTCCTTCTACTTGATGTTTCAATATTCTTTCTTCGGATTCCTTTATACTATTTTCTACCATACTGTCAATATTTGTAATTGTATTTACCCATTTATTTTCTAAGGTCATCATTCTTTCCTTCGTATCTTGTTCATTTAATTTTATTTCTTGTACCTCTTCTTTTATAATCTCTATTTTCTTCTCCATAAACTCTTCTACTTCAGATATTCTTCCCACCATTTCTTCTTTAATTTCTTTCTTGGTGTCCAATATTCTATTTTCTATTTGTTCTTTAGACTGTTTCATTTCTCTTTCAACTTCTGCTAGTTTTTCTTCAATCTTTTGACTTCTTTCTTCCATTCTTTTGATCATGTTCTGCTCCATTTTATCCATCTTCTTGATAATGTCTTGTTTTATTTCTTCTTTGTCTTCTTTTCTATTTTGATCCATTTTATCCATACTTTGTTTTATTTCTTCTATTTTATTCATTTGTCCCATTATTGCCATTAACATTTCCTGCACATTTTTTTCTTCAGTCTGTTTTGTTGTAGACTTTTCTTTTTCTATTTGATTGCTTATTCCTGTTTCTTCTATTTCCTGTACATCTTCATCATTTTTCTTTCCAATTTTTGTTTCTTCTACATTTAGTACTTGGCAATCTTTAGTATCTCCTTGTCCTTCATCTTCTCTAACCTTTTCTTCTTCTAGGTGTCCAACTTTCTTTCCTCCTCTTAGTTCCATTTTCTCACCCATTGTACTTTATTTGATGTTACACTATTTTAAAATTTTTATATTTACACTTGCTATTTTTCTATTCACTTTTCAAATTTAAACTATTTAAATTTTCCTGTCAATTTGACAACTTTTATTCCCCACTTTTTCCACTTTACTGTCCCACTTTTACACTTTACTGCCCCACTTTTTACACTTTACTGCCCCACTTGTTGGTCGCCATTTGTTACGTTCTCTTTTTTAACCTCACAATTTATAAAAATACACAATAACCTAAACTTACCTCGGCTAGCTTTTTTTTATATATTTTATGACTTTATTTTATATAGAGCAGATTCTCTTCTCTGAGTGGTGTCGGTTCAAGAAGTATTATATTTTATAAACTTTATTTTTATTTTTTTTTATTTAATTAAATTTAGTTTATTTAGTTTATTTTAGTTTATTTAGTTTATTTTATTTTAGTTTATTTTAGTTTATTTTAGTTTATTTAGTTTATTTAGTTTATAGAAAAATGATTCCTATATTTATGATATCAAGCACTTCGATACTTAAATAAACAAAACTCTTACAAAATCAAATTTGTGTTTAATTTTAACAAAATAAGTATCGCAAATTTTAACAAATATCAGGTAGGTCTTTTAGTACCTGTTATATCTGAACATTTAAAAGAAACTATTAACTATTCTACTACACCTACTAAACTTAATTAACAAAAAAAAATAACTCTCGTTAAAGAAAAATTTCCAAATCTAACAATTGTTATTTTTAAATTTGGCTATAACTTAGCCATTTATATAGATTTATTAAAATTTTAACTATAACTAGTATTACAAATTTTCAGTTTTGAAGAACAACTTGAATGAATATCTATTCCTTACTATAAACTATAATTACACAAAAATATAAATGTTTTTATAAATACCGTGTTCACATCACTGCTGTGTCCATGTCTCTTTCAATCGCCTATAAACTTTTTAAACTTTCCTCTTCTTTTCCTCCTCTAGTATTTCTTCTGATATGTATTTCCTTTTTACAATAGATCGTTAACCGTTTGTTTATTTAAGTCTCTTGTACTCGTATATCTTTATATTATAATCTTATTCATAAATTTTCCTTGACATTTTATTTTAAAATTCAAAATTGACCAAACCTTCAAACTGACTTTTTCTAACAACCTTTTTTTTTATCTAGAAACCATTTTTTCTATCTCCTAGTCTGCTTCACTTAAGAGTTTTATCAATTTTAATATACAGGGTTATCAATTATTTTTATTTATTACTATATATTATTATCATTCTTATTATTAGTATGGTTATTATTAGTTTTATTATTATTTTAGAATATTGGGTGTTTACATAACATATCAATATATATATATATATATATATAGTTTATTATTTTGTAGAAAAACAAAATTTCGAAAATTTTAGTAATGTTTCAGAAACAACCGTTATTAATAATAGGTAGAAATAAAATATAAACTATTTCCACGATTTACAAAGGCCTACAAAAAAATTATAGGTATTTTCCGCTATCCTATAAAATTTATATTTTCTAACTCAATTTCAAAAGGTGGAAGGAATTCCAAAACACCTTTTATGGCATAATAATTATTTTCAATTCTACATACTATCTTTAGCTGCTTTTAAAAACGTTCTAAGAAAGTCCAATCAGACCAATTTAATCCCTAAACTATTCCACACTTTTAAAATTTAATTACCTAAAAATATTAAAAACTATTTAAAATAACTTGTTTAGCAGACTGTACAATAGCTATCTTAGTCACACGTAGCGCGTTCTCTGTCTGGGCGTCGAACACCTCTAGAAATTTGATGAACTGTATAAGTCTATAAAATGAAGCGAGAGGATCTTAGAAGTAGTGCAGGTTTGGAAAAATAAATAATTAACAGAAAAAAGATGTGATAGGAGAAAAAATTTATTGGTTAAAAGTAGAAGAAATAAAGCTAGAAAAAGGACACCCATATATCATTTTTTTCAAATTCATGCATAGTGAAGAAAGCGCTTACACAGAAGGGGATATAAAACCCAAACATAATGGAAAAATAACACATCCACCAACCAGCGACAGTGAGCTAGATTTACTATGGCCCCAAGGAAATCCTATTTCTGTTCCTAAGCTTAAAGATCTAAAGGCTTTATTTCATTTAATTCCCCAAGCCGATCACCATTTTTACAATCGGTTATTTAGTGATGAAACCGTTAATGACGACATCGATAAATATAACGGCGAAGTAGACTTTGAATTTGAAAATAATATCTAAGCCGCTTGTTTTGTTCTTATTTTGAATAATTTTTTTGTTGTTGTGGTTCCTTGTTATTATTGTTTTTTTTTACATAGAATTTAAAAGTTCAATTTTCGTACAAGGAACCACACTATATTTTTATTTAGACGTTTTAAGAAATATGTGTTTTGGTAAGACAAACATTATAAAAATTTTGTAACTCATTCTGGCATATTAGTGGTTTTTACAGGGAACGAAGTGCTTTGGTTCGTTATGGAAACATTTATTTGTGTTCGAAAAAAAAAAAAGGAACCAGACGCCAAAAAAACTATAATTTTTGATAAAATTAAACTAAAAAATCTTCAAAATAATGTATTTTTTAACTTAAAAGTTCACTGCAGTATTTTTTTTATCGTTATTACAAAGTACTTATCAATTTTTATAAACGCCAAAACTCGGATTTTTACATATGGTTCATGGTTCTTTGTTCTATATCTCCATCCAATTAAGCTACTTAAAAGCTGCGGAAAAATTAAACTAAATGTCCTATAAAGATTTCGTTTGATTTCAGGTTTACTCCGTGAATGTTTAAATACAACAAAATACCAAGTTGACCTAACATCTCAAATAATGAGTGAGTTATTCAACGTAAATAGAGCTATTTTACACGAATCGCAACTGGTGTACGCAGCTACCGATAGTCTGCTTTACACCACTGACCAAGTTATAATGAGCTGTGCAGATGATTTAGAAGAACCAATGATTCATACGAACTTTACAATAGTTAAGACTGATGTTAAAGATGGTAACATTACTAGCTTAGTATTTAACGACTGCACTACTACAGCTTGTAATATCTCATTTTTAAATAATGAAAATATCAGCGAAATTCTCACTAATACAACATTTAAAACTGCATTAGTCTTTAGTTCTGAATTAATTGAACAAATAAAAGTAAACGATGGACCAGTAAATTTGATGATAACCCTTTATTTTCATGATAATTACTTTAACGAAAATCCTAGTAGGAATATGGATACCAGCCATGTTATGGGAATAATACTAGAAGGTAAAAACAATTAAATTTAAATAATGAGTTACCTAATTACATAAGCATTTGTAGGTTTAAATACAGATTTACAAGGCAAGATTTACTTGATGTACAATATTGAAAAAATAAATGTTTACGATGACAGAAAATGTGCTTTTTGGAAGTATCAGGTGAATATTTTCAATTTTTAAGACATCAGAGTTAATCTTTTGAATCTTATATAAATGTTTAAAAAAAACATCGTTTTTAATACAGAAAACATAATCGAAAAGTATGGGGTGTCCAAATTTTACATTCCGATTTAAATTGGCCGCCATCTTTGGTAATCATCATTGTCAGTATTTCTATGGTGACATGTAGCAAGTAAAAACTTTGCGGATACTTGTTCTTTGGTTAACATGGAACAACTGTCAATCGAAAACACCGTTTTTATTGGAAAAACTTATTACCAAAATGGGAAATGTTTTGCTGAAACTTGCAAAAAGATGCCTTACGTATTTCAGAAGAAATTTAGCAACATCTATTAAAGTTATTCAGAGTATTATGAAGAAATTTCAATAGCAGAATATGGAGAGAAGAAAGTCCAAGAGGAATATTGGAAAAACGACTGTATCCAGTAAATGTGACTGTGTTGGTTTTTGGTTAATGGCGTTATTGCTCCTTATTTTTCCAGAATGAAGCTGATGATTCATTAACTTTCAATGGAGCGCGATACAAGACAATGATTGCGAGATTATTTGTGGAACGAATTAGAAAGATATGTATGTTCAGAACATGTGGTTCCAGCAAGACTTGCCATGCATCGGATAAAACATTAAATCTTTTAAGGGAGAGATTTGGCATTCGAATAATTTCTCGAAAAGCTGAGGTTAATTGTCCACCTAGGTCGTGCGACCTTGCACTATTGGATTATTTCTTGTGGGGATTTTTGAAGGGCAAAGTTTGTGCTAATAACCCTTAAACACTTGAACAGCTTCGAGTTAACATTAATCAAAAAATTGAAGAAATTTGTTTGCAAAAATGTTCTTTAAAATTTTGTAAAAAGAATGTTAGCATGCTAAAGAAGCAAAGAGGTCACATGCCGAATATTATTTTTCATTATTAACCGTAACATTTAAACTTTAAAATAATACAATAATATTATATTATTTCAAGGACTTTTTATGTTTTATTATTAAATTAAATTTGAAAATCAAATTTGGACACCCTTTATAACGTTTCTATGCAGAAACGAAATTTTTAACACATAATATACCTTACAATGAGTTGAATAAAGTGCACATAACAGAGAGATCGCTGACAGCGAGCATCGATTAAACTAACAGCCGTATGCATAGTCGATCGCCAGCGACTCGCCAGAGATTCATTTCGGCGTATCGCCAGCGATTCGCTGGCGATCCGCCGGCGAAAGCCCAAAAAGCTGGCGACTCGCCGAAGATTGTCACCGGAATGTCATTTCACGAAAGTTTTTATGTTCTTTTACAGGGAAAAATTTGATATTCGTTCATTATTTTTTGAGTTTTAAGAAATGAATCATGAATAAAATGCGAGAGATAATCCCTATAAAAGAAAATAAAACTTGCGTGAAATGATATTCCGGTGACAATCTCCAGCGAGTCGCCACCTTCTTGGTCTTTCGCCGGGGGATCGCCAGCGAATCGCTGGCGATACGCCCAAATGAATCTCTGGCGATCGACTATGCATACGGCTGTAAGACTTCTGCCCGACGTGTGTGCGATAAGCGACAGCGATCTTTGCCTAATATGTAGATGGTCCAACGACGGAAAACTACTAGCCTAATCCATTCATTTATAATTAGGCCCTTATTTACGATAGTATTTGGCTAGTTTTTTATGTTGAGCATATAGAGGTGTCGCCTTGGTTGATTCATATTAAATTGAGTGAGAATGTTTTGTGACCGAAACAGCTCGTACAACTACGATGCTTACTTTACACCGTTGTCACCCTACAAAATAAATGGTGTACTTTAATGTAAATCACCTTCAGGTACAAGAATAGTTTCAACCAGTAAATACATTATACTAATAATAACTGGCATCAAAAATGCAAATTTAACTACTTAACCCATTAATTCCCAGAATTATTTACCTCGAAGGATTTCCATTTCCTTTATAAGTAGTGTTTTATATGAGGCCATTAAATTAAAAAAAAATGTTATTAAAATTTTCTAAACTGTATATTTTTTTATTAGACGTGGGTCGTTATGGACCCCTTGGGCTTTAAAAGTTTTGTATAAAAAGAATATTTTTTAAATATTTATTTTAAAATAGATAAAAACACTTTGTAATACAAAAAATTAAAAATATATTAATTATAATATATTTCAAAACATTTGTCATGAAGTGGAACATTGCAAGCATTACATGATTTGGTGGTTTTATTTTTACATACTTCACACCTACGTCTGTTTTGCTGTGTCAAAATAATATGTCGTCCACTGGTAATAATTGGATTACTTATTGATGCTCCTTTTGATTCTGGTGTTAAATTTATTTTACCATGCTTCAAAACTTTTCTTCGGAATGAAAGGTTTTCATCTGTATAGCCATATTCTCGTGCTAAAAGCCAAGAATTTGTGGCACAAACATCAAACAGCCAAAACAGTAACGGTATATACCATTTTTTCCCTCGGAAAGCAATTCTATAATTGGAAACGTGGTTATCCAGCTGATCTACACCGCCCATAAATGTGTTATATTTATTAACTACGGATGGCTGTGGAATCTCAAGTTTACTCTTCTGTTTTACAGAATATCTTTTACACTTTCCAACTGGGGCAATTTCAAATTCATTGGATATTAAAGTTACCACACTATTGTCTTTCCAGCGGACTCCGACAACTTGTTTATTACCATCCAGTGCACTACACATAGCCCCTCTGTCAAGTTTTTTCATGATTGAAGTATCAATGAGTTTACACTTATTACTTCTATTTTCACGTGCAGTACCAGTGGCCCCAAATCCTTCTTGCTCCAACTTTTGAATAAGTTTTGCATGAGTAAAAAAATTATCAAAAAACGATATCTTTCTATCCTGAAAGATATGTTTTAAAATATTTGCAAAATGAAATACGACTGATTCTCTTAAACCAATCCCTTCAATTTTATCCTTGTTCCTCTCCTTTTTTTGGTAAATTTAAAATTGTAAACAATATCCAAATTTTATAGCAGCTACCCAAGTTTTATAGCCGAACCGGACGGGCTTTCCCGGTATATACTGTTTACAACCATGTCTGCCATAATATGGTATCATCGACTCATCTATGGACACTAGGGCGTGTCATTTTTAAGCAACAGGTTAAAAACTTTCAGGAAGGTGAAAAAAGAAGCCTCTAAAAATTTGAGCTCTTAATATTAACATTAAGTGGTTCTTAACTTTCCATTTTCCATTTAAATAACATGGAAAAAATGTATTTTTTCTTATTTTTGTAGCTTGACATTTTAGCATTGTAAAAATGAACTGAATATTTTGGTCGTAACGCTCTACAAAAAAGTTCTAATTTATTTTTTCATAGAGTCAGCCGTTCTAAAGATATTCAAACTTAAAGTTGCAAATGTATGAAATTAGGACTTTTATTTTATTAAACTAATACTGATGACTTTTTTAATAACGACGCACAGAAGATAAAAACTCACCAGAAATATTTTTAAACAAAAATGTGAGTGACTTTGTTTCAAAACAATCATTGAAACTTTTTGATAAATTTGATTTGCGTACGTACTAATATGGCCAGATAATGAAAGTTATCAAGCGAATTTAGAGTTTTTCGAAAAATTGAAAGTTGTCAATGACGTTGCAGAAGAATATAATAGATGCCTAACCAAAGATGAGAACAATTTCAATATTTAAGGTTGTGATACGTTCCTAGTGTTTGAAACTCCAGTAATTAACCCAATTAAACCACTGAAAGGGATAGCATCGTGGAAACCAATTATTGTATGGGATTGATTTTGAGTATCATTTCTTATATTTTTTCACTTACACTATTATTGTCGCTGATATCGAGGAAAATATACTAGGAATGGATGTAATGAACTTACATGGCTTTTAGTTGAATTTTAAGAATAGAGTGATCAAAATTGCTGCCAAAGAGGTTTTTATACATACAGTAGCTGTACAGGAAGATACGGTGGTACCTCGTAGAAATGAAACCATTATAGTAGCATGGCTTGAAGAAACTATGGCAGAAGGAATACCTGTCATGATTGAACCTTGGAACTACGTTGAAGAGGTTGGACGAGGAATTCTTATCGGAAAGGGGTTGGTCACGACTGCTAAAGAGATTACAGCATATCTTATAAACGTTAATAATCACCCAATTACCATTAAGACGGAGACCAAAATCGGAACCTGTGTACCAATAATTTCCATAATTCAACAGACAACAATTTCTGATAATTCCAATGACAAATTCGAGCAAATTATTGCAGTTGCTGGTCAATCTCTGAATCAATTAGAGTAAAGTAAAAGAAAGAAATTATCAGAAGTTGTTGTTTGACAAATTATGGAAGTCGCTGGTACACAGGTTCCGATTCTAGTCTCCTTCTTGATGGTAATTAAATGATCATTAACGTTTATAAGACGTACTGGAATCTCTTTCCGATAAGAATTTTTTGATCAACCTCTTTAACGTGGTTCCAAGGTGTTCCTTCTTCCATATTTTTTTGAAGCCGTGCTAAAATAATGGTATTGTAATGTGTATGTACAGAAATATTTAATAGACCTTTCTAAACTACTAAAAAAATTGTTTACCTACACCTATACTGAGATCTATATTCTGTCATTGTGAACTCCCAATATTTTGGTCACGAGTCGCCACTGGTCGTAGCTGTGACTCGGTAGTACAATTGGTAGAGGCGTCGACGGCTCATGTCCGAGATTTCAGTTTCAATCCCCGGCCGATGCACTAGTTTTTTATTTATCACTTTTTTCACTTTTGGTTTGTTTTACCAGAGACAACCCAGCGAGACGTGTTCGGTAAAAGTTGTTTGGGCGATTGTAACCACAACCAGTCTATAATAACGCCACTAGTAAATAGCGGGAAAATTAAAAATGCTTTAAGGCGGGAAATTCAAACACGGATTCAGAAATAAATAGTTTTTCTATACAAATTTACAGAAGAAGCAAAAACTATTGTTTCACTGTATATTAAAAAATATAAAAGCTTTCAATAACATCAAATCAGGTTAATATAAGCAGTGAACATAGTTTTTATTACTCTTGTAAATTTCGCTAAAAAAAACTTAAAAATTCTATTTATTATTAAATATTTAAACTTGGAAAAATAATACACCAAACTCTTTTTCTATAAATTATATTTTTGTAAGGTACAAAAATAAACAAACTACAATTGCTACGTTTAGAAAGTACCTCGTATCATTTTGTGACAAATTACAAATAAAGTCACAGTTGTTATATATTCATAATATATTTAAAAAATAATGTAACAAATATTTTATAAGGTATAGAGTATATCGATACCTTTTTGCTAGACTATCATAAGTGCCATTTGAAGAAATGTCGCTTACGTTAGTCTAGCAAAAAGGTATCGATATGTTATGACTGTTTATTTTAATAGAAACCATGGAAACGAAACAAACACACACATACACTCACACAAATGTATAAGGCCCAAGTCGAGTAAGTTCCCATCCTGTAAACTGGATCGAAAACTGCTAGACCCATTCCATACACCCCCCTGCTAACTGCTCTTGAGGTCATCAATATCAATAGATTTATATGCCATGCCTTCTAAAAGGGAATGAAGGATGACATACTATCATCATTTAAACAGGACGTTGCTGAAGGCTTACCCCTGTTATGTCGTCTGTTTGTGTATCTTATGCGTATGCATTCCTGTTGTGTCCCCAGTCATGTAAAAGTTTTCCTAGTCTCCTAATTTGGTGACTAGATGGACCTTCTCCAAGTAGTCGTCTAATCTATTTGATCTGCTCTGCAGCAGGAGGTACTTTTCAAAAAGCAAATAATAATATTAATAATAAACACTATTTAAAGATGAATACATTTTTTGTAATTTTTTTGTTGTACCTTACCATATTTTCCATACTCCCTTAAGTATAGATTACCTTACGATGTTTGAATGAATATAACATTTTACCCATGAAAAATCTAATTTCGAATTTAACTCTTTTTCAATTTCATTTGAAACAATTGGTATATTACAATTTATTATCAAGGAAATATTCTAATAAAGTTATAGCAGATCCTACCTAAACAAATGGTTGTTCTGCAGGATAAATTAATTTTTCTTGAGATTGATCTCTCTCTAAAGTCCAAAACCGACCTGATGTCCCCAAATTTATTTTTCAATGCATCCTGATTTAAAATTCTGCTCTTTTGTGATTTATTTTTTTTTCTTCGTATAAATGACTCTACAATCTTCTAATAGCCACTAGAGTGGCTATTAGAGGTAGGTGTACGTAAGAAATAGCCAATCTCTAATCATTTCAAAAATCCTTTGCCAATACTACATGTGTAGAGATTTTTTACTCAGCATACATTTTACTTCTTTTCTAGTAGGTGAGAACTTTGTACTGCCATAAAAGCTGTCGAAACATTCATCTACCTACTTAATGAACAAAAGTAGCCGTAACAATGGATCTCTGTTTCAATTCACCTAAAATAATTATAGTCATTTTGTAATATATCATTAAACACACACATTATACAGTGGTTTTCTTAATAAATTGGAAATGACTTACCTCTAGAAAGAAACGTGTACAAAAACGCTAGTTTGGTTCCAGAAATTGCTTCATGCAAAAAATAATATGCGAAAATAAACATTTCTCAACACAAAGAAAATTAATTAAACAACAAAATCAGACTCAACGAAATACACGAGGCCCAAATTAAATTAATTTTAATAAAATGCACACGTTCATAACAACATGCATAACATTGTCGACGTCAAAAAACCAGCAACATCAGCGACCTCTAAGATTGGTGTTAGTTTTATTGGAGAGAGATAAATATATGTAAAGATCAATGTAAAAGAGAAAGAAAGTCATATATGTAATTTAAATGGACCACCAAACAAATTTTCCTAAGTTACACGTCTCTGTTGTCTCTGGTTTTACCTTTGGGTGAGGATATATTATTTATTAATTTCGTAGGGTAAATTAGGAATTATTTATTTTCCAATTTGTAAAAATTTATTCTAATTTCTGTTTATTTTTTTTAGGTTGCTGACTCACCTTCTCACGGTTTTTGGCAAAATGATGGAATGCCTACTTCTGATAGCGGATTTATAATTTGTGAATATAGTCACTTAACACATTTTGTACTTCTTCTTGCAGGTTCCGGCAGCATTATCGAACAATTAAATAATTCACACATACTTGACATAATTACCAACATAAATAGCGTTTTATCCCTTTTCGGCCTCTTCGGTATTTTATTAACAGCTGTGCTTTTTGACAGATGGCGAAATAATACAGGAAACCAAATTTTAATCAATTTTTCAATAGCTATTTCTATTAAAAACGTAATGCTTTATATTAGCGAAGGCATTTATACGGAATCTGATAAAAGTATGGCTTGCACAATTACCGGAGGGATACTACATTACTCAATTTTATCAGAATTTTGTTGGATGTTAATCATAGCTATTTTGCAATTTAAAAGATTTGTAGAAGTCTTAGGAGGACCTTTAAAATACGTTTTACTGAAAGCTTGTATTTGTGGTTGGGTGTTTCCAGCTCTACCAGTATTCCTTATCATCATTATCGACGTTAATAATTATAATAAAAGCGAGGTCGGCCTCTGCTATCCTTCTGGTTTTGGATTATACCTTGGAGTGTGGCTTCCTCTGGTAGTCATTATAAGCATAAATTTCATAATATTCCTTTTCATTCTCTACAATGTTTTCCATAAGAAAACTGAATACAGAGATCAAGTTAACCATGACATCATTTTTCAATGGAGACTTGCCATACTTCTTTTTTCAATGTTAGGTTTGACCTGGACGTTGGGTTTCCTTTCTTTAATATTTGGATCTAGTATATTTGCAGTGCTGTTTTGTTTCTTGGCGACACTGCAAGGATTCGTTATGTTTATGTTTTTTATTGTGTTTAACAAGAACGCGAGATATTTGTATGTTCAATGTTTTAGCTCGTGGATGTATTCTAAAGGGTATAAGCAAGGTATAAAGTAAATTAAAATTATACAAAGGTTACCTACTTTAATCTGTAAAAATATTGTATATATACATTTAGTGCTAAAGAAAGAAATAAAAAGCACGTTTTAACGTCTACGATATTAATATCCAAAATCCCCAGGCTAAGTGTTCGTTGGACCACCTTGTATTTAATTTTGTTATAGAATTAGTCCTAACTGTTCAAATTACAAGAAAAATTAAACCATCAAAGACCATAATTTTTTATACAGGGTATCCCATTTGTGCTTAATTGCTTCATATTTTAATTTGTCTATACAAGTTTCAAATTAAAGTTATAGAAATTTGAAAAAGGCATACTTTTTTTTTCTTTTGTATACAAGATGTTAGATTTTTGCCTGGCAAATAAAAATATGTACCTATATTTAAATATATTTTATTTCAATGAAACCAAATGAAGATTTCTAATGAAATGCAAAATCGCTCGGGAGCTGCGATAATAGTCCCCTACCCTCTGTAAGGGTAGGCGTGCACTCTTCTAGAAACTCTTACAGAACACTGGAGTGATAGGTGACATATTACCCTTTTTTTAGTCGTACGTTTCGTATAACAGCCGCAGGCTACTTCAGGGTGCAGGATAACAATACTAAAATATATGTAATCATTTGTTAACACATTTTATTGCTGCAATTAATAAAAAAACTCATAGGGGTTCAATTTGAAAAATGAATGTTAGGAGTAGCATCTAGAGGTTGATTTGAGTTCATCTTGTAAAATATTGTTTAATCCCATATGTAATATTTACCACATTTTATGCTTACCTTAGAAAAATGTTTGATTGTTAAGATAGGTACACCTAACATTTTAAATTTTAATTAAAGTTCTTAGTTATTTACTTATAACTAGTTTACATATAATTACATCGACTTGAATTGTAAAGAGAGATCCCAATGATTCAGTTATATCTCTTTTAGTAATACGGAATTCAATAAAAATATTATTGATAATGTAGATAGAATTGAATAAACAAAAAATGAAATTTAATAATTCAATACAATGAATAGCAAGTAGGCGAATCAAATTAAATTAAATAAAATATTTTTTGAAAAATTAATTTCCAGCAAGCTGTAAATTGTTTTAATACCTTTATTTGGTCCTAAATTCGTATAATCTAAGTTTGCACAATCCCAGGAAGTAAGTATAACTTCTGGTAGCTAAAAAACCGTCAAATTTTTGCACTTTTATTGGTTTTTTGCTTGTAGCTGAAAAATGATGCGTCGGACGGAAAATGTTATTCCATTTAATAATAAAAAAGACTAAATTATGCGTTAAATGACATCTAAAACTTATAATTCGGTTCAGTGGTATAGCCAAAATCAATAGTTTGACACTGGAAAAAATTTTCATTTCAGTGCAAATTATATTTTGCGACTTTTTAAAGCAAGTACACTTCTGCAAATGTGGTGTTCACTTAATCGATGACTGCAATCATGTCGAAAGAACAATTTCTCTTTACCGACAATAACAAAGAACGGCTTATTTCCATGCTGCGTGAGAAATTGGTACAGCATTGGTTTAAAATGAGGCTAAGTATTGAGGGTGTTAACACCTTTATTGTCAACACTATCATTTAATTGGCAGGTAACTTTGCGACGGTCATCATAATCGGGGAGAACATCCATTTATTGATTCTATTGACCACCAAAGCACCAAATTCATCCAACATTTACGTCATGAAACCTGGAAAGGCAACCTCTCGGAACACTTTCTGCTCTCACAGGTTATTCAAATTCTCGTATGTTGTCAAACAGAACCTTCTGTTCCTAGATGCAATCAGTGGGTGTGATACAACCTCTACATTCTATTTTCAAGAGAAGTTAAAGTTGTTAAGCCCCTTCAAAAGAACACGCCATTACTGTCAACGTTTTTCATCATGCAGATGTTGACCGTGAGGTTCTCATTCCAGCAGGTTAATTATTCTTGGTATCTCTCTATTCACTTAATGGCAATAAGACCTCCTTAAACAAATCCGCTACGAGATATTTTCAAAATCCCTAATAAAGTCAACTTTTAATCTAGCTTCTCTACCTCCAACAAATGCAGCCGCCACCCAACATATTCTGCGAGTATACCTTCAAATTCAGGACTGGTATGATAGACTAAAGGATCCTCTCAGCCTGGCGTTAGAGGAGGATGGACCTTAGTCTTCTTCCCATGATAAACACCAAGGATCCAGCTTCAGCTGAAATTTTCAACACAGTGTCCTGCAAATGTACAGGGAAGTGGAGCTACCGAAAAATGGGGTAGTAATGTTAAACAATATGCCTCAACTGGAACGACCAGTCATGTTCGAATTCAGCACACTTTAAGGATGAGGGTGTGACCCACATTACTGTGAAAGCAAAATAGGTGAGGATAGCTATCGACAACTAAGAAAATGCGAACATGAATGCTGCCACCATTTGTGCTGCATGCCTATTGATTTATATTTCTTCAATAAACTTTAAGTGTTTTTGTTACATCATTACATCCAAGCTATTAAGAACTATGATTAATTTCCTTATAAATTAATATTAATAAAACTTTTTGCGGTTTTTTGGCTACCAAAATTTATGCTCACCTCTTGGGATGGTACAAACTTAGATTACACGCATTTAGGGCTAAATGAAGGTATTAAAACGATTTTTCAACTCGGTTTTTTTCGATTTCATTTTATTGGCCTATAATGCAATTTATATTTGTTGTATTTATTTTGTCTACAAACAAGACAATAATAAATAAATAATGTTCTTAAATTTTTTTTATAAATAGTGAATAGTAAGTATTTAACTGGGCAGCCATTTTTCATTTCAGTGCAAAATAAATCAAATATTTTACAAAAACTAACTATAATTATAAAAAATATATATTTAAAAAATTATTTAAATTATTGTAGCAATTAATTTATTATGTTTTTTCCTAATATTAATTTAAAAATATATTTTTTAACCTGTCATTGTAGTTTTATTTAAAATTTCGTTTCCAATTCAAATTATGTTTATAGCGAATTTTAATTAACCATAAAAGCGAACAAAAGCGAAAAAGAACGAGCGAGCATTCTGCATCAATAATTATCTAGTATGTAGGGACTAAAGTTTATTTGAAAATAGCAAAAATTTTATAACCCAGGAGATAAACCCTAATAAAACATCTAAAATAAAATGTTTATCATTATTTGTTTTAAAATAAATTATTTGGTTTTCTTATTAAAATTTTTAAAAATACCAATTTATTTCAATTCTTGTCTTAAATTTGCTAGTCATTTTAATCAACAAAATTAAGTTAAGTATGTAATTTCTAGAGGTAGAAAATATTTACAATTTCAAGATCAATTTAAATAGCCCTCAACTTTCTTGGAAAGGATTAAAATTTATAATCGGCAGAAAATGTGCTGCAGATTGTAATTTATTTTAGTTAAGGTTTACATTTCTGTTTGTATATTCATGTGATTGTAACACGTAGAATTGTTAGTTCTGTAACAATAGGCGATAGAAAGCGATATTGATCAAGTGAATTTGTGCAATAAAATTGGCACAAACGTCTAACAATACTCCTGTGAAATTAAAGTGCAATTTAACCGTGCATATAAAAACTTTAGTGTTAAATGTACAATAACGTCTTGTACGTGAACATTTCAATAGTACTGTTCGGAGTATAGTTTCTAAGTGTTCAAATATGACCATCTATAGACTTTTGAAGCAACGGAAGGATGGAAGTATTACCGTAGCACCTAAAACGTCAACTGGGAAAAACCCATTCAATTAGACGGTACTATGAAATAACTGATCCGAAGAAAAGTGCATTCGTTTTATTTACAAAAAGATACCTACTTTGGATAAAGTTTTAGTAGACCTTAATGGAGACGAAACTTTGCCAAACGTTAAAAGAGACAAATTGTGGAAAACTTTACATGAATTAGACTTTGTTTGGGAAAAGAACGATAGAAAATCTGCGCTTATAGAGAAAGATGAAATTATTTGTTGGAGGAGGCAATATTTCATGGAAATTAGAAAATTAAGAAGAGAAGACAAAAATATTTTTTATTTGGATAAAACATGGCTAAATGAAGGATATTTTGTAAAAAAAGTTTAGCAAGACAAACAGGTTTCAAAGCTCGTTAGGTATTTATAGAAGGTTTGTCTTCTGGCTTAAAATTTTCAAATGATAAGGGTCGCCGTTTAATTATCATTTATATTCAAAGATATGAAGGATTTGTTGATAGAGGCTTGTTAGAATTTGTTTCAAACTCTATAAAAAACTACCATGAAAAAATGACTGCTGATGTTTTTAAAGAATATTTCTTTCAAAAGATAGATTTATTACCGACCAATTCTGTAATAGTTATGGATAATGCCAGTTACCATTCAAGATTAAAGGAACCGTTACTTAACACTAAATGGAGAAAGCAAGAAATCTTCGATTAGCTAATAACCAAAAATGCTCGTTCAATAGGTTTGTTCGGTTTTTTTTTAAATTTGACGCAGACTGTCCGAGATCCAGTTGAACAGCTGAATAGCAGATTATTCGTCACGTACGCGTACAACTTTTAAAGTGTTCATTGGTCAACTAGTTCCTTTGATATTTATCAACGTATTTTTGAAAATCCCGGACAAGCCTAGTGTGAACGGGATTCCAATTTTCAAAAGTGCTTCGATCGCTTGTGCTGCATGCAACTTTGTCGGGTTCCAAAAGTTGTAGCAAAGTTTTCAAATTTTCAGGGGATATTTGGCAATTATTCTGGAACATTCCGTAATCATGTTCTACTTTTAAATCTTGCAATAGACTACTGTTACTATAAATATGTCTGTCAGCCATATTTACCACGCTCACGATGAATCAACTGCGAACCTGAATATATTTGCTGGCCAGTTAAATTTAATAGCAACTGGGTTCCTCAGAAGGTATTTCCATAGATAAATTAATAATAAAAGATAAACCGTTTAAATGCACGGCATTGGTAACAAGTGGTAGTTCCCGGCCATACTACTTGGAGCCACCGTCGCAAATAAGACGACAGCGATGTTGTCAGTTTCCATAAACTTTCATGAGATTAGAGTTATCTCAAATTCATAAGCTGCACCTTATTTTGTTTTTGTCGTGCTCGATACCATCCATACAATGGCCATACTATTGCTGAGATATTTTAAAGAGAGGTTTGGCAACTGTGTTGATAACCTCGTTAAAAATGAAGAACGGAATGGCGGAAGGCGAAATGGTCGAAAAATGCACAAAAACCATCATAACATAAAAGTTATTATGATGTTGTGGATATAATTATCCTTCGATAGGTAAGTTATTACTAGGTTAAGAAGATTGATAAGTGCTGATTTAATGAAATTAGTAAGTATTAACAATATAATTTAATAAGGTGTTAGATTGGTTTAAGGACTTTGTTTATCATTGTTTTCTTATATAGCCTTAACGAAGTATAATTTCATTTTGGATCGATTTTCAATTCTTTTTTAATATACCTATTTGTAACAAAACATGTCTGGCCCTGGTAAAATTAAGTAATCTTTTTCAGCCCCCTAATTTAAATAAGTATTATTCTAATATTCAGCAGGCTGGTTATTCAAATAAAACCTTTTTTCATTTTCCTTCCGATATTAAAATTCTGCGAAAACTGTTTTAAGAATTAACATTTTATCTTTAGATAAAGATTTTTTTAGTAAAATTGCTTCAAAGCGTAAAAGACTAATCCAGTTCAACTATACTCAATACTCAACCCAAACAGTCAGATTTTAGAAAATGTTAAGGCTGAAGCACATACACAGTAGCATAAGATAGATTTGCTAATCTGCAACGAAAAACAAGAAATTATTTGCAAACGTAAACTTAGTATTAGTGATAAACAATTTGAATAGAAATAAACTGAAAGTTTTTTCTATAAACTAATTTTAGACAAATTAAAAATAACTTTTTTATAAGAAAGGGCAACATTTTGATAAGAAAAATTGTTTAATGACATGTAACTATGTAGCCTTTTTTATTTTCATAGGAAACCCCTGACACCTGCATCAAAATTTGGTCCAGTTTTCCAAGAATGAGAGGAGAATACTATTAATTTCACTTACAGTTGTTATTTGTACATGTTATGTATGTAATAAATGTTTAAATGCACCTTACTTTTATTAAATGATTAAACTATACCTATATACCTGTTGTTTCAAATATTTTATTATTTAATTTATATTTTTTGGAGTTTTATTACTTAAAAAACTAATATTTATGTTAAATACAGTATTTTAATGTAAATATTAGTTTTTTTAAAGTAAAGAATGCCAAAAAATGTAAATAAATAATAAAGGACATTTGAATGAGCCGCGTTTAGACTTGACACTCTTCTTTTTAATTTTCTTCTTTTATCTTGACTCTAACTGATAAGTTAATCAGCCAAATGCGTAGCGTGCGATGGTGGCTCCAAGTAGTATGGCCGGGAACTACCACTTGCTACCAGTGCCATGCATTTAAACGGTTTATCTTTTAATATTAATTTATCTATGGGTATTTCCTAATGTCTATGGTAGGTAAAATTCCTAACGTCTAGCCGATGCAGGCTAGGCGTATTTTCTAAAAAAAAATTATTATAGGGCTATTTTCGACATTCTATGAAATAAAATCTACTGACGAATAAAATATGGAAAATGAATGTGATTGGAATAAATAGATGGCCTAAAAAATCCTTATAAAAATAAGAGAAACAAAAGTTAGGTTATGTTTTAGAATTTCTATAAGCATTTTACACACTGTACTTACCTATAAAACAGCAGTTGTTGTAAAATGCAGGAATTATTAAAGGAATAGCTAAAATAAAACATTAATATAAACTTACCTATGCTTTTAATCAATATCTTTGAACACGTGTACACAAATGAGTATGGTAGAATAACCTACACAACAATATAAATAAATCTAAATGTATACATATATTTACTTCTGTCTACTAGTTTATTGCCAACAGGAAATATACGTGTAAGGTAAATTATATTTAAACGTATAATATACAATAACTAGTATCTATTAACGTTTAATTTATCCGTTAAAAAATGTAATGTATAAAAACGTTTAAGAAATCAACCAAGACGAAATTTAAACGGGAGTTACTAACGAAAAATACATATTATAATATTACATAAATTTATACGAATTTAATTTAAATAAACATAAACGTATATTTAGGCACTCTGTCTACAAATCTTTTTATCGCAAACTAAAAATAGTCGTATATTGTTAACTATATTTAAAAGTAGAATAATTTACAATTATATACTATAGGACGTATAAAAAATCGTATATCATTTAAAAAACGGTATGTATAATAATCGTAAACTGTAAACATATACGGAATCAACCAATACCAAATATAAACGATAATTATAAAATACGTTAGTTATACCAATTTGTGCTGCTTGGGCTGTACCCAAGGAGCGGTCACGTGACCTGTGAAATTTCGAGTAAATTTGCTTATAAATGGATTTTTCCTTTTTTGCTGGCAATGAAATGTAAGTTCCTAGATGTCAATAACAATAAAAAAATCCCCTAGCAGGCATTTTCGATAGTCCCGTTTTGCTATTTCCGGTATAGGGATTTCGGTCATGTGACCGGAGTTTTGCTGTTTTCAACTAAATTTGAGATATAGCATTTTTTGTGTCGGCAAAAGGGTTGATATGCAAAAAAATTGTAACCTGGCGAAAGATTTTACCAAAATTTGAAGAGGAATTTATTGTTTGTTAATTTGTCAAGTAATCCTACATGTAAGTTTACTCAGAGGTGAAATTATTATTCAAACTAATAAAAATTTAAAATTGATTTGTTCAGTCCTTTCAATAAAATTTCA